CTATCTCGTAATTAAATGTTTTTACGCCTAAGATCAGCTACTAACTACTTTATGCACCAACTAAACTGCTACTCTTAATTTAAGCATCTCTGCATTAGTAATAAATCTGCTGCTGTTTTTCTAAAATAAATTTCTGCATTTGTATGATCACTTTTCTGCTATATTTCTAAAATCAAATAAATAAGTTTGTTATGTCAGTAATTTTGCCCCCTTTAAAATCAGTTGCTTAACATAGTGCTGCATTTTGTAATAATTTCCCGTCACTCTTAATTAAATAATCATCTTTTAACACCATGTGTATATCTGTATGTTAACACACCTAAGCCTAAGACCTTTCACTTTATGTGTGTTTGCTAGCATGTTTAAATTAAAATCTAGAGGCCAATATGAGACTCTACGTGCTAAATGCTTGTCCAAATTGTTTGACTTGGTGTCTAGGTGGGCCTATTATATTTTACTTTGTCTAAATTCACCTTAGTAGCAGTCCAATGCCTCTTGGACCTTACGTGGGACGCTAGACATCTCTTAGAGACGAAAGCATGTGGTGGTGGGGTTGGGGTAGGGGTAGTTTAGGCCCTATGGAGATGATGACATCGACTTAGGCTTGAAGAGACAAATCTTTGGTTTTGTCTGTCCCTACACGGAAGCCTATTGAAAAAATAAAGAAAAGTCGAGTGCTGATCCTAAAGTCCTTCAGAGTCTCCCTTTCCTTTGTCCCTTTATTTGTTTATAATAATTATATTTATTTGGGGTAGTTTAATTAAAATAAAAAATGTTTGCTTATCTATTTGTGTAATTTCTATCTCCTCGCTTATCTCCTTATTGTTTAATATTTATTTGTTGACTTATCACTTAGTCTTGCATGCTCAATTAATTAATTAAAATAACTAAAGTTTCCTTAATTGTTTAATATTATGTTATCACCTAGTGACATGTTTAACTAACTAATTAAAATAATTAAAGTGCTCTTAATTGCTTAATGTTGTTATCACCTAGTTTTCGCATGCTTAATTTATTAAATTAATAAATAAATTGATTTTAATTGTTTAATATTTATTCATCACCTAGTAATCATGCTAATTAAATAACCAAATAATGAAGTGACCTTAATTGCTACTTGTAACCCCCACATATTGCATGAGACACGGCCGGGACCCACATTTGTGGACCTCGAGGGATGCCTAACACCTTTCCTCGAGGTAACTTGAACCCTTACCCTGATCTCTGGTTCGTAGACCTTAGCTAGAATTAGCTAGGTTAGATAGGTGCCCTAACGCGCCTTAATTCATTAGGTGGCGACTCTTTAATCCACCAAAAACCCAAAATAGTTGTTAGGTCGTGCATCAGAACCCGTTTTGAGAAAAACGGGGCGCGACACTCTTGTTTGTATTAGCTTCTAAAGTCTCTATTAATCCTTGAGAGATCCTACATGTCCTAATCACATGTCTTAACTTACATTCCAAAATAAAGTAAGTTTAAGAGGAAAGTTCAGGAGATCCTTTTGAGTCATTTTGAGAATTCTTTTGTAATCAACAATGATTTTGAATCAAGTCTTGAAAAAAGTAAATATCAGAATTATTGAGTGTATTTAGAATATGATTTCACCTGGTGTATTTATAGAAGATATTGGTGGAATTTTTTTCTTTGCACCAAGTTGTTATAATTTTTTAAATTTTTTTTATTCATTTATCTTCATAAACGAAAAAGATGAATAACTGATCGAAGTCCGAAATTGCTATTTACAATATCAAAAGTAGGTTAAATATTTGATTGATTTAATGAACACACCTATTTGAAATGACGACATGACACTCATAATCTTTAAATCTTGGATCCGCCTCTGATTAAATCATCATGAAAACCATTAAGCAAGCTCCATAAAAAAACTAATAACCAACTCTCTTTCTCTTCATGTCCTGATTCAATTAAAGCCATAGCCCGTACGTGAACCTCTGAGTTAGACCTTGCAGACGTCGAGGTTCATGCTCAATTTGTATCTATTCATTAACTCTCCATGTTTCTTTCCAAGTGTTAAATCACTACCATCAAGGGCAGATGCACATTATATTAAGGGGTGTCATCCGATACTACTTGGTCGAAAATTTATATATATATATATATATATATATATATATATATATATATATATATATATATAATATGTCAATGATTGAGCTTCCTAGCTCCTTGGTCAAGTGTGCTCCTAGTAAACTATGTGTTGTGAGTTCAAACCTTCACAGTGCCGGATTTTATTTTATTTTTGTTTATGATAAAATGACTCCCCTTTATCATAAAAAAAAAAAAAAAAATCTAATTTTGAATTAGGCTTGACAACTTATTTAAATTTTGATACTGCTTAGAAAAGAGTCTAAGGCCATCTCCAACCCATCTCTATTTTACTCTCCATTCTCTATATTTGGAGAGTAAAATAGAGAATGGGCACCCCAATTCACCTCCAAATCACTTTTTCAATATTTTATTATTATTTTTATTACTTTCTAATTAACATATTATTTTACATATAATATCATTAATTAAATATCTAATCTTCATAATTCTTTTTAAATATTTTTAAAAATAGACTTTAATCTTGAATTAATAGTTTTTTAATTTTTTTAATTTTCGTCAATAATATAATTTGATTTTATTATTAAATTTCACTATAAATAATACACAAAATTAAAATGATAAGATGAAAAATTTAATTGAAAAATACAATACATAATATGATAATTTAAATACGAGATAACAATACAATACATAACATAATAATTTAAATACAAGATAAAGTATAATACATAATATAATAATTTTAATACAAGATAAAATACAATACATAACATAATAATTAATTTATCACAATAATAATTTAGTAATCCGGTAGGTCGTTTCCAGATATTAGCACTATTCATAAAAAAATTAGGATATGATTCAGAGAATTGTTGCGATTGTGGTTGTGATTGAGGTTGTGATTGAGGTTGTGATTGCGGTTGTGATTGTCGATTTCTTTTTTCAAGTATTAGTTGTTGTTCTCGTTGCATGTAGTCACTAATATTTACAATCACGTTTTGCAATTATTGCAAGACCGTTACGTTTTTTGGAGAAAGGAAGTGTTACATGATATAATGACTACATGTATTATACTGCACAACATGATAATTGAGGATGAAGTGATCTTAATATACCAATTCAAGATGTCGTAGAGGCTCCAACTCCAATGATAGAAATTGTGGTAGATGAAAATCTCCGGTTTGAACAATTTTTAGCTAGACATAAAAAAATTAAGGAAAAAATGTTCATTTTGAACTCCATAATGCATTAATAGAACATTTATGGGAGCAACGTAATAATTTTTAAAATTGAGTGTTCATGTAATTGTATTTCACTTTTATTTGAATTTGTCCATTAATTTGTATATTATATTATATTTTCTTGCAATTTATGTTATTTAAAAATTTAGAATAAAATATAATTTTATATTGAATAAAAATTTTGATTTTTTTTTTTATATCACATGAAAATTATATAAAGTAATTATTTGGGAAAAAGAAATAAAGGATTTATATTATGAAATAAGAAAATAAAAATGAAATATAAATAATAATATAATATTGAGGAGAGAGAAAACGCTTTTTTAGAAAGTAAAATAGAGAATTGAATTGGAATTGGTTATCTGAAAAAATAGAAAAATTTATATTTGGAGAGTAAAATAGAGTGTAGGGTTGGAGATGCGCGTCACTTGTGTACATGTGCCATCAAGTAATACTCCTACTTCTCATCATGACCATATATATATAATTGTACAATGTACAATATAACTTGGTTGGATTAATAGTATTGTATTAGTATGGCTTAGCTTAAAGTTAGTGGTCTAGCGATCCAATAATAAGTTCGCGCATTGGACATAATTCAATCTTTTAAGATCAAACTCTCTCTATATAACTAATATACACTAAAAAGTAAGTATAGAGTCAAATAAATATTTCATAATTTACTATCTTATTTCACAATCTACATTTCGTGAGAATGAGGGCAGTGCACATACTTGTAACTTTAAGCCAACTTGTTAAAAGTCAACTGTGTGTAGAATTGTTAGCTAAAGTCATTGTAACACAAAGAACAAAGAGTAGAGGAAAGCTACTACACATACACCTTGTGAGAGTGATAAATACCAACGGCAAGCGAAGTTCTAGCATGTTGTAAAAATATAAATTCAGAATTTAAAGTTTATAAATTTTTATAGCGACACTAAAAATTAAGTGTTTACATTAAAATATTTATAAAATTTAATTGACTAATAAATAAATAGATAATAAGAAGAAGATAAAAAAGTTACTGGTTCCGTGAACCCTGTACATGGTTCTAAATCCGCCCCTGACTATTGTTCCCAAAAGTCAATTGGTTTTATAGCCCTTTACAAATTACTCCTTATATTTCAATTTGTTTGTCTTATTTTTCTTTTTAGTATATTTAAAAAAGAATGTCTTTTTCTCTAATTTGACGACTTTTTAATTTCAACATCTCTTGTGAATGTGTAAAACCACAAAATTAGAAACTGTGATACACAGTGGCGGAGCCAGAATTTTTAATAAGGGGTTCGAAATCTGTAAAGTAAACACACAAGCTAGTGGAAGGGAGTTCGACATCTATTATACATAAATAATAATATTTTTCGCCGTAGGGGGTTCGGATGAACCCCCTAAGTATATGCTGCCTCTGCCCCTGATGATACATTGCAGACATCTTTAGTTTAAAAAATAAGTTTCAAAATTTTTCTGTACTTTCTTAAATTTTATGTCAAGTTAAACAAAGACATACGGTACGAGCAGTTTTTAGTTTTATATATATGTTTTTCTAATAAAACTTTAGTTTTACACATAAAAGAATAAAGAATAAAATCTTTACAAGGTCATTTTTTATATTTATTTATACAAATCATAAAAGGCAATATATATTCACCCATTTTCCCATCCCATCTAACCACTTCAACCATATTCTATTAGTGATCTCATTATTAGCATCTGGTACATTCTTTCTGCAGAATACCCCACTTATTAATTCTTCATTTTTCTCATTCATAACATATTATGGTACACAGAGATCATACTCCCATGTTTTTTTTTCCTTTTGATTAACTCATTGCTATTTTTTTTCTTTTTCCAATATTCTTAATTGAATGTTTCCAGGCAGAAAATAAATTTATTTGGCTGAAAATGGGGAAGAAAGGAAGTGGTAATTGGTTTTCCACTGTGAAGAAAGTCTTTATTAAACCTTCTTCTAAGGATTATTCACCAGCAGATCATAAAAAGGTTAGTTATTCACTCTTCTCATCGATAAATATTGCATAGAATTAAAACGAAATTATCGATGATTTTTAGTTTAGTTTGCTTCTATTCCTTCCAAAAGGATAGTTAATTTGATAGATTGGCATTGTTAGTATCAGATTATACAAATGGAAGCAATACTACTCAGATCTAAGTTATACACATTGACAGTATAATAGCAACAATTCACTATAGTTTTACAATTACCTTTTAAGTGATCTAATTATAGAAATATTGTGTACATGATCCACACATTAAAATTTAGATTGGTATATAATTATATGATTAAAAAAAATTGCAACATATTTTTGTACTACTGGTTAGCCATTTTTCTCCCTCACCAAACGGCATTAACTAATAATCTTAGAACACATATTGGTCCCCTCTAAAATAGGGCCCCTGTCGAAAGGCAACAACGTAGAATTTATGACTTGTTGCTTTCATCCACCTCTTCTATGGTTCACGGTTCGATTTGGTTTGGATTTCACTTAACATAAAATAAAATTAATTTAGTCGGTTTTTAAGTTATTAAAATTAAATCAAATCATCCAAATATAATAAATATTTATTGATTTGATTATTAGCAATTTTGGTTTAATTGTTTGATTTTTTATTATATATGGGAAAAGGATCTGATATATCCCTCAACTTTGTCATTTAGAGTTGATATACCTCTCTTTATGAAAGTGACTCATATATACCCCTGCTTATATACAAATGGCTCACATATACCCTTTTCCTCTAATGGAAATGAAAAAAAATTAATTTTAATTTAGTTTTTTATTATTTTTTTAATAAAAAATATAATCTCATATGGGTATATTTAATCCTCCTCAAACATATTTTTTTTACTTTTTTTTGTTTCAATGACTAATTTAGATTTATTATTTTGATGGTCAAATCTATTTATGTTTCACTAATATTCTTGTAAAACTTATTATAGATGACCAATTTTTTTTCTTCAAATACAAAAATTAAATTACAATATATATAAAAAAAATAGTTCTAAATTATAATATAGCCACAAAAAAAATAGTTTTAAATTTTTTTACTTTACAATAAGGAATGAAAGAAAAAAATAAAATAAGAAACTCAAATAATGAAAAAAACTTTCACATATAACAAACACAAAAATCATATTTGTATGATATAGTTATAGTTTGCATAATTGCGCTTTATAGCAAACATGAATATGCATATTTCGCTATACATATACAAAAGAAAGCAGTTGTATATAATATATATCTGTTTCAGTATACATATACAAAAGATCAATTGTATAATCTGTGTTTATATAAAGCGAGAAAGAGAGAAAGGCAAAAGAGAACTGGGCAGGAAAATATTTGTATTGTATAATTATAAGTGTATAGGACGAAGATATATGTATTTGCATGTGTATATACAATTTTCTCTCGCTTTATACAAACATAAATGCAATTTATACATTTCTATTTGTATAATAAGCGAGAGAGGCGAGGGAGAGATTGGCGAGCGAGATCTGGGAGAGTGGCGAGCGAGATTTGGGAGAGTGGCGAGCGAGATCTGGGAGAGGGGAACGAAAATATATGTATATGTACAATTTTATCTCGCTTTATACAAACACAAACTCATTTTATACATTTGCGTTTGTATAAAAAGCAAGAGAGGCGAGAGAGATAACGAGAGTGGCGTGCGAGATTCACTAGGAGAGAGGCGAAATAGCAACAGTTTGCTATGGGGTACAATTAAATCAAACAATATTTATAGCATTTAATTTGAATTAATAGTTTGCTATTATATACAAATTTCTCAAAAATAATTTATGTACGAAAAAAATTAAAATATACCTTGAACTTTGCTAGAAGAATCATATATACCCCTAAATAATTTTTTTTAAAAAAATTGAAAGTCAAAAATATAAATTTAAAACTAATTTTTTCAGTTCCGTTAAATGAAGGGTATATGTGAGCCGTTTGTATAACGGTAAGTGTATATATGAGTCACTTTCATAACGAGAGGCATATCAGCTCCAAATGACAAAGTTGAAGGGTATCTCAGGCCATTTTCCCATTATATCTTCTTATTTAGAAATGGGAGTTTGGAGGACCAACATTGCACTAAAGAGTTGGACTAAAAGCTATAAAAATTGTACATTGAGGCCCACCAAAAAGATGAACTAAAGTAACTTCATCTAATTCTACTTTTTCTACACATATTTTTCTTTAATAAAATAATTATTGCCTCCATTTTAATTTTTATTTTTAACATTTATTTTTAATTTTAAAAGATTGGAAATTTTATGTTAAAAATTTTAATAATAGAAAAAATTATTTATTTAACTTTTATCATCATCAATACTACTAATTTATTTGACGTTTTTTCTTAATCTTCATCTCATCATTAATGTTATTTATATAATTTTCTTAAATCACTTATTTTTTCTTTTTTAACTCTTTTATATATATAAAAGTTGGATATGTAAATGATGATGTGACATTTCTTAGAAGCTAAGATTACTATTTATCTAATTTCTCCAAATTTTAATTTTTTTTTGAAGATATCATATGCAAATTTATGGTCAAACTTAAACTATTTGATTCTCGAGAAATAAAAAGTCTCACATAAAATGGGACAGACGAAGGATAACTCTCAATTAAATTTATTTCACTTTTTATTTTCCATTTTTAACATAATTTTTTCAAGTTCGATTTCTAGGAATTCTATAGTAGACCCATTTAAATTTTACTTTTTTTTTTTAAATTAGAGAACTTGGCCGCATTTCGCGCGATCATTTAAATTAAATATTTTTGATTAATTTTATATTTACTCTGTTGTTTAATCGTAATATTATTATTTGTTTTAATAATATGAAGATTGTGAAAAAAAGTAAAGCTTCACAAATTTTACATCTATTAAATGAGGAAGAATATATTTTTTATCAAATAAGTTAAAATATATTTGCTAATAACAAATTCTTCCATTGCATGAAGTTGATCCTTTAATATATAATATATATTTCGGTCTACCATTCTCCTTAAATGTCTAAGAAATATCTCATAATGTCAAATAACACTGTAATACTCCCTCTGTCCCTAATTACTTGTCCACTTTTAAATTGACACATTTATTAAGAAATCAATTAATGACATAGTGAGTTTATCATTTTACCCCTATTAATTATGAAGTAGATGAAAAGTTTTGCAATTTTCAAAGTAATTAGTCATTTAATTGAAGGTATAATAGGTAAAAAAATATTCTTTCTTGATTTGTCAAAATGGACAAGTAATTAGAGACAACTATAAAAGGAAAAGTGAAAAAGTAATTAGGGACAGAGGGAGTACTAAACAAATGCATCTACAAATGAAATTTATATTAAAAATATATTGAATAATGACGTAATGATACCTCGATAGAATTTCCTATCCATTTTAAAAAAAAAAAACCTTCACCCTTTCAATTTCGTTATATCTTCTTATTTAGTAGAAGAATCATCATTTATTATATTCTATTCCACCTTAATTTGTACCATCAGAGTTTTAAGAATAAACATTAAATTTTAAATCGAAATAAAAAATCATTGAAAAATGACAGAAAAAATAATAATAGTATATGAAAATTAAAATAAGGTGCAAGAAAAGCCTTTTCACGATAATTTTTTGAAATATATTGATAACAATTAAAATGAAGCTGTTATTTTATCTTTAAAATTAAGTTTGATTGAATTGAATTAGTACAATGAGAAAAAATATTAAACTAATAACTTTTTAATGTTATTAAATGCATTTTATTTTTAATTGAGTAGTAGATTAAAAGTTCCGAATTAGGATATTAAAATAATATCTTACTCTCTCCTTAATTATTATCGTATTGCAAACATTTATTTTCCTTAAATCGTGATTCATTTTCCATTTACAGTTATATCCAATTAATTTCTAATGTATTGAATGTGGTTATGGCATATTGAAATAATATCTTTATCTTTCCTTAATCATAATAAAATTATAATTTAACATTTATTTTTCTGAAATGATAATTTTGTTTTAATTCCTAGAACATATTGTTTACTATATTGAATGTAATTATAATAAAACATATTGTATTTAGTATGACAAAAGAACTCAAAAATTGGAGAAATTAGATCAATAGTAATCTTAGCTTTTAAGAAATGTCACATCATCATTTACATATCCAACTTTATATATATAAAAGAGTTAAAAAAGAAAAAATAAGTGATTTAAGAAAATTATATAAATAACATTAATGATGAGATGAAGATTAAGAAAAAAGGTCAAAAAAATTAGTAGTATTGATGATGATAAAAGTTAAATAAATTATTTTTTCTATTATTAAAATTTTTAACATAAAATTTCCAATCTTTTAAAATTAAAAATAAATGTTAAAAAAAAAATCGAGGCAATAATTATTTTAAAGAAAAATATAACCAAAATTGTCAAAAAAAATTGATAAAAATAAATAACTATCTATTAGTAAGAATGGTGTCACTACATTTTCTATTTTAACTTTATTGTTACGTATGGATAGAAACTTTTAGAAGAAGAAATGATCCAAAAATTTAAAAATAATGATTCCTTAAATGGTGATTCCTTTTCCATTTATAGCTTTTCAATTAATTTTTAATGTATTATATATGGTTATGGATATTGGAATAATAATTTTATCTTTCCTTAATCATAATAAATTATATTTTAACCTTTGTTTTTGTGAAATGATAATTTTCTTTTCATTCGTACAACATATTGATTAATATATTAAATGTAATTATAATAAAACATGTTGTATTTAGTATGACAAAAGAATTCAAATTTTTTAAAAATTAAATAAATAGTAATCCTAACTTCTAAGAAATGTCACAAATATATATATATATATATATATATATATATATATATATATATATATATATATCTAAGAAAATGATATAAATTACATTAATGATGAAATATGAAGATTAAGAAAAGAAGTAAAACAAATTAATAATAATATTGATGATGATAGGAGTTAAATAAATCATTTTTTATATTTTGTAAATTTTCAATATAAATTTTTCAGTCTTTTAAAATTAGAAAATGCTAAAAAAATAAAACTAAAACTAAAAATCGAGGCAACAATTATTTTAAGGAAAAAATAACAAAAAATGTCAGAAACATTGATAAGAATAAATAAGTATCTATTGCTAAGAAGGTGTCCTATTTTAGCTTTATTATTACATATAGATAGAAATTTTAAGATGAAGAATGATCCAAAAATTTTAAAAATAACAAATCAATTATGTAAAAATACATGTGTAATTCTTATAAAGTTATAATAACTAATTTCTTCAAATAAATAATTAAATGAAAGAAGAAAAAGTAATTAAGAAAATAATATAAATAACACTAATTATGAGATTAATAGCATTGATGAGGAAAGGGACTAAATATGATCATCTTTTTAAATTCTTTTTTAAGAAAATATATATAAACTTTAATTAAAGATAAATAAGAAAAAAAACTTTAATTAAAGATACAAAAAATCAAGACAAAATAAAAGAAGAAAGAAATTAGAAGAATAATGAGGTTGAAAGAAATAATATCTAATTTTCTCTCTTTTCAAATCACAAAATAAATTTTTGCTTGTTCTCCTCCTAATTTGATACGAATTTCATAAATAGAATAATTTTTTCTCCAAATAATTTTTCTTACCCTTTGAAACACTAATCAGCCTTCTTATAAATTTCTCAACCACAATGAATTTTCTCTCCTTGTAAGAGGAATAAACATTTTTTCAAAAAGTCTTTTATTTTGAAAAGAATTTTTTGTTACATAATCTCTTTCTTTACATCAATGTCTTCACAAGAATCATGAGATATTCTCTCTTTCTCTTTTGTTAAAAGAGTCACATGACCTAGAAATTTGATGGACATCTTAGCGACAGAAGTTGATACCATATATTGATCATTATCGTCAAAAGAAGAAGAGCCAAAGTGAAGAAATTTGTTCTTATTTGTTACAAATGCTCAACTATTTTTTATTTATTTTATAGGCTAAATAATTATAAACAGTTATAAAAAATGAATAGTTTTTATCTTTTCATCTTCCATTTTCATTTACTTAAATCTATATTAGTGTAATGGATGTTATAAATGGCATAATTAATCGGGTATGACATAAATACTTTTTTTTAAATACAAATAAAAAATACAAAACAAAGATAAAATGTCAAAAAAAAGGAAAAAAAAGATGAATAGAAATACTAGTCATAGAGAGATGCCACATCAAATTGTCAATATTCAGCTTTATATATATATATATATATATATATATATAGGTTCATGCCCTTAGATGTTATTTTATTACTTTAGCTGGCATCGACATTTTTGTAAATCTGATATCTACTTTGGAACATTTTATAATGTGGCATAGGCTGACAATTGAGATCATAAATTTAAAATAATAAAATTTAATTTATTATAATACTAATATCAATATCATAAAGATATATATATATATATATATATATCATTTAAAAAATATATAAAAAGTATTATAAATTGTAATAATTAACCGCTTTATTTTTTTTAAATCATATAACTAATTTGATTTACACTCCAAAATTCATAGGTATCACATAATTTACACATTAATTCTTCATTACTTAATATATGTAATTATATCAATGACATATAAATTGAAATAAAAAAATTACATATTTTATTTGAAAATCACGTAATAGTACTATAAGGTATAATAATTAACAACTTAACATATTTTAAAATTTTAGTTGACTCTCTGAATTCCATATGTCTCATGTAATTGAGACATAGAAAAACATATATTGGTTTAAAATTAATAAAAATATTATAAATTATAATAATTAACAACTTAAAATTTATAAAAAAATCCTTTAAAAAAATTTAGTTGGCTCTCCAAATTCAATCGGTATTACAATAATTAAAACATAGAAATTAACATAGATTGGACTCCTGCTGACATTTATGTTTCCTTTTTCTAATTTTTTTCTTTTATACTTTATATAAATAAATTTTTTATGTAAAAAGTATTATAAATCATAATAATTAATAGCTTAAAATATTTCAAAACATATAAAAAGTTTTTGTTAACTTTCAAAATTTCATCTATACCGCATAAATTGGGAGAAATATAGATATATAGATATTTTAAGTTGCTAATTATTGTGAATTATAGTACGTTTGATGTAATTTTCATATATATTACTCGCTTTGTCTTGATTTATGTGATACAAATGAAATTTCAAAAGTCAATGAATTTTTTATAAGTTTTTTTTTATATTAACTTGTTAATTATTGTGATTTATAATATATTTACGTAAAACATACTCTAAATAAAAATAATTAGCAACTTAAAATATATAAAAACATACTAAAAAATTGATTAATTTCAAATTTCATATGTACCACATAAATTAAAACAGAAACAGTAACATATATTGGGCCCCGTGTTGGCACGGGGTCCCATATCTAGTATATAAATATATAAGACCTTATAATAACACACATTTATTAATTCGGTTGTTCGTTTTTTAACTATACATAACTATACACTTCCCTTCCTTTTCTACTACTCGTTCTCGACATTATTAAACAAATAGATGAAGTGACAACTTTTTTTAGGTAATATGACATCATTTCATTAAAATATACTCGTAAGAAGTCAAGTATATCTCTCTTCAATATCGTAAGGCTTCCAATGTGATTGCGTTGATAATATATGATAATTTTGTGTATATAGTAGCGTTATAACACATGATAAAAATAATAATTAGACACTCCTAGGTTATATTTTGCGTGTATTCTCAAACACCATTAAGTAGATAAATTAATCACATAAAATATGTCTCCTTTAATTATACATATCAACATCAATTGAAACACGTATGAAGTTTTAGGTATGGTTTATTGAGACTATTGCATATGATTAAAAAAGATGGCATACTTAAATGGTTGACTTACTTATATAATGGATGTTTGAGAACGCGTCCAAAATTTTGAGTCCAAAAATTTAATACTCTCATGTCTTTATTATTCATCAAAATAAACACCAGTTCAAGTGTCTAAAAATTTAATACTCTCATGTCTTTATTATTCATCAAAATAAACACCAGTTCAAGTGTCTAAATGTAATTTACTCGACAAGTTTAAGAATTCAGAGCCTTCAATTGAAGTGATTTTGTATGGTTATCAGAAGGAAAAATTACAGAACCAATGGCAAGATGAAGCTCCAGAAGTTGTCTCAGTTGTACAATTTCCAGCAGAGAGTTCTTCAGATCTTACCAATAATCGAGAGAGCAATGACAATTCATCATCTTCGTTGGCTGAAGATCGAAATCATGATATTCATGTCATCGAAGCCACTGTTGCGGTTGTTGAAGTAGCAACTTATACGGCCCCAAAAATTGTGAAATTAGATGGATACAACAAAGAGGAAATTGCTGCCACCCTAATTCAATCATATTACAGGGGATATCTGGTAAATTAAAAGCCAATCAATCATCCATCTTATATATAAGTACTGTTCAAATATACATTTTGCCTAATTTTGCAGGCAAGACGTGCTTTGCGTGCCCTTAGGGGATTGGTGAAGCTGCAAGCGCTAGTGAGGGGGCATAGTGTGCGGAAACAAGCGCAAATAACAATGAGATGTATGCAAGCATTAGTACGGGTACAGTCAAAAGTACGTGCACGAAGACTCCAGTTGCTGCAGAGCAAGGTGGAAGAAGTAAAATTGCGCTCGATTATTAGAGAAGACCAGCACAAGAACAAGATCCTGTCTAACAAACAAGAGACAGAAGGCTGGGATAACAGGAACCAAAGCATTGAAAAGATCCTACAAAACACTAGAAGAAAACAACACGCTTATCAGGTTAGCCAATACATAGCAAAAGCTGTCATATATATTTACTCCCTCCGTTCCATTTTATATGAGCTTGTTTGATTTGACAATGTTTAAGAAAGAAAAACTTTTGAAATTTATGATCTAAAATAAACGATAGATGATTGTTTGGTTATAAATCATTTCATATAGTTTAAAATAAACATTTTAAAATTAAATTATTATTTAATATAGAAATGCATCATTTTCTTTTGAACTACTAAAAAGGAAAATGAGTTATATAAACTGAGACAGAGGGAGAGGGAGTACTAATGTAGTGTAACTACCTTCACATTAGATGCAATAATCACTTGGGGTCGTTTGGTTCATGCAGGACTAATTATGACTCAAATATTGTTATACAAAGATTAATAATATTGATATATAGCAATTAATGGTGTATATAAGAAATAATTAACATAGCACTTTTCATTTAATCCTTGACAGGGAGTTTTTATACTTACACAAATACTATGACATGTTGAATCTCAAAAGTTCTATAAACCACCACAAATATTTTGACATATCACTACAATAAATACAGCTTAGAGTGACAATAATATGCACACTAACAAAGAGTAGTGTTACTATTTACCACATTAGTTAATTGTCATTAAATTTAACGTCATTATATATTTTTACAACATTTACAAAGAGTGCTAAAATGTAATTGTCATTAGTAATCGCATCTAAAAAAACATATTTAACAATAATTAAACATTTGTTGTTAATTAATTGCTGGTAAAGCTTAGAAGTCTAAAACATCTCATTTTCCCCCTTAAACTCCATGCTCTTAATTTGTATTGTCTAATTATATGTTAGCAACAACAGAAATGGTTGCACTCTGATCCAGATGATGATGAAGAATGTTTTTGCAATGAGCATGAAAATCCACAACAAAGTTGGAATTGGCTTGATAGATGGATGGCTTCTCAACGAGAAGGCTCCTATGTGTCATTGTCCATCACAGATGACATATCAGAGAAGACAGTAGAATTGGACCCATTGGGCTCAGAAGATGTCAACTTAGCCCATCACATTCTCAGTCCAGTTGAAAGAAGCCCATATTCATCCACTCAGTCCAACATGGATTCTGTCCCTAGCTACATGGCTCCAACTAAATCTGCAAAAGCAAAAATAAGAAGCCCAGGCCCAATAAAACCTAAAAGCCCACCAGGAGTGGCCCAATGGAATGCAACACCGAAGAAGGTGACAACCCGTAGGTGGAGCTATGATTCATCTGCGAGAAGCCCAAACGCGAAAACTTCTGCTAAATGGATGGCAACCTATAGCCCAGAAACACGTGTACACGACAGGGCCTCACCTATGGGAGCCCCTGCTTGCAGATATAATTATTATAATTAGATATTCTTGCACAAGTTCAAATAAATGGATATTTTAAATATGCAAATGTTATGACATAATTATATATGTTCAGTACACTAGAAATAAATCTTCATTTTCTTCTTGATTTCAAAGGCTTAATGTCACGTTTCTCACTTTCCCCATGATCCTCCTGCATAACCTTTATAGTTAATGTCAATATTTACGACTATCATTTGTATGCCTCCATGTAAAGCTGTCAAAAAGGATTGGTCCAGACCCACCCGGCCCAAGCCTCGCAGGTCAAGGAATTTGAAGGGCTAGGGCAGGCTGGCCCTTCATTTGGTAGGGCCTGAAAATGCTCAACTCAACCCAACCCTAGAAGGGCCAAGGGCTGGGGCGGGCTAGCCCTTCTTTTTATTTATTTTTTCTTTTTAAACTTGTAATTTTATAACATCAAGAAAATGAGAAGATTTCCAAATTAAATATGACAAATAATGGTGTTGTTTCAATAACACTAGCAAAAATTTAGTGTAGTTAGCATGTATCTCGCATACCAGATATGCGAGTGAGATAAGAAAGTGACAAGCAATATGGGAGGGAGGCGAGGGTGCGAGATTTGTATATGTATCCTAGATACATGTGAATCTACTTTGATAGAGTGTATCTAGAACAAATTAACCTAATTTTGAGTTCATATATTCTGAGATACATGTATCTGGGTACGAAGATTCATAATATTACAATATAGCGTGTATTCAAATTATTAGATTATATACTAGTGAGATTATTGTAAATTACTCTTGAATAAAAAGTTTTGGCCTATGGGCCGACCTCGGCCCAGCCCCGATCAAGCCTCAAGGGCCAAGGGCTTATATGGGCTGGGCTTATAAGCCCTAGTTTTTAAATGGGCATGAAAAATCATATCCCAACCTTATCCCAATAACGGGTAGGGTTGGGACGGCCCCATGGGCTAAACCCATTTTGACAGCTCTACCTCCATGTAATACTATATAAATAGAGGTATAAGAATTCATATTGTACACACCTCCATTTCGATTTTTTTTTTAGCAACTCTTAACTCAAATTTTTTAGATGATGTGTTTAAGATCACAACATATTAGTGGTCGTTTGGTAGGGTGTATAAAAATAATATCCAATAGAGTGTATTAGTAATGCATGTAATAGTTATACTTGTATTAGTTATGCATATATTATTTGCTATGCATTGTTTGGGTTGATGTATTAAAAATAGTATGCATTGTATACAAATATTTATTTACAAAAGTATCCTTCATAATTATGGTGGAAAAGATGTAAAAATACTTTTGAGGGGTAATTGGGTCTTTAATCATATTAATGCATGTATTAAATCCTTTGCATTGCTAATACTTAGAAATTCATGATATTAGTATACACTCCTCAATACACAATAGAGTGACATTATAGTATATTTGATGTATCTTTAATTTAATATTACAAGATTCAAAAAAAATCTTCATTTTCTTAAACTTCGTATCAAAGTCAAAATAGAACAAACAAATTAAAACGGGGAGAAAGTGCTATTTTCACATTTTCTACTGCAATGTTATTTTCATATATTTTGGCCAAACATAAATTTAATACCATATTCAAATTCTTACCTTATAAGATGAGATTTTAACATATAGTATAAGAAGTCCAACAAGCCAAAAAATATATTGATTGGAGGTAATTGTTATTCCGAGGGAAAGTGAGTGGGAGAAAATTGGCACAACGTAAGAAAAGAGTAATCAGCCAGTTATCTGACATACATAAGTAATTCAGCTATTAGGTGGTTTGTCAGTAATCCCACATCGATAACAGAAGAAGAAACATAGAGAAACGAGCCTTATAAAACCGATAGCAGGTAAAACTTGGAAAGTATCTTTGCGCTTGGGGCAATGACGCAGCTAGTGAGGTTCTAACCGAGGCGCGTCTATTGCTGGTTGAAAACTATTTCCAAACCCCCTCTTTGGCCTGGGCTTTGCCTTGGCCGTCGAGAATTTTTGGAAGGGCTCCCCTCGGGGTTTTGCCCTACAATACAAGTTTTAAAATTTTTGCCTTGGTACTTCCTTCTTTTCCTTTGTCTATTGCAAGGAAAAAAGAATTCAAGGCATTTGGGATCATGAGTAAATGTTAAAGCGATGTTACTTCTTATTGCATAGAGTCGCCTTGTTATCAAAATCTGAAGCAACTCTAAACTATAAATTCGATAGCAAATATCTTGTGAAAGATGGGCTTGACCTTTTCCTTTCTATTTAGAAAGTGAAAGTCCTTGTCAGTGTGCCAATATAAACTTCTACTTTTGTGAATGATGGGCCTGATCTGTTCCTTCCTATTTAGAAATTGAAAGTCCTTGTGTGACAATATGAGTAGACATTGCTCCTCTTTCTGGGGTTCATAATCGAATATGCAGTTAAGGGAATAGATCCTACAAAAAAATGGAGCTTAGTAGTGGTAATACTGGCATGATGAGTTGATGACTGGATATGCTACAACATAGGAAATGTGCCACAATCACCATGTGGACCGAATTTTCCAAAACTTGAAGCTTCAGTTGTACTGCTTCTATAGAACATGGTTTCAGATCTCTATACATAAAAAGCTCAAATGCCAACATAAACAGGCCAAGAAAGTGTACAGTTCTGTTTCCCGAATCCAGAGTTGAGATGACTGTTTGCGTCGGCAAGTGACTTGTGAGTGAATTAACTGTTTCAGAAATTTGCTACTCCATTAGAGAGTTACTTATTCTCTTTTGGTTGTAAAAGGTCCATTATCTCTATGCACTATTTTGTCACTAGCTCATATTGTCGAAGTTTGTAGTCAAATTCCATTTAATCATATCATAAAGGCAACACCAAAAAGGTTCTGACGAGGACATCAAACGATCCATTAAATAACATCATGTAATTTCACTAAAATTAGTTGGGACTACAGCATAAAATCATGTGCCTCAGCCTTTTTGGGCAAAAGACTTGACTTCTGTCATGTACTAATTAGTGGTCCACTTCTTCAGTATTTTGCTATAATTGAAGTTTCTCCGATAAAGTTGTAATGTCATTGTAATTATCTTTTACTTGAACTTTACCTGTAAACAGGGGATGAACTTTGTCTCTACTGCAACAAAACTTTTGTGCACGACCTGTAGAATATGGTTGTCAACCGTGCTATCTCCTTAGGCAGTTGGAATATAAATTTGTCTCCATCTCTTATTGAAACCAGACTAAATTTATCTGGACTATAATTGATGCTCACTGCCTATATTCATGGTTCAGCAAGTGTTTTGCATTGTCTGAATTGACATCTTCAAGTAGTATGTAACATTCAGCTAACTTGTTTCACCTCTCAGTCCTTTAAAATATTGACAACAGATAGCCACTAGCCGAACAAGTTAAGGAATTCATGAGCATCCTTATCATGCCATGACAAAGATACTACAATATATTGGTAGTTTATCCCACATTGATAATAGATGAAGCTGAATATAGAAATGAGTCTAATAAAATCCAAATCTGGAAGCAGTAAGAAGTATCTTTGCGCTTGGGGCAATGACGCAGCTAGTGAGGTTCTAACCGAGGCGCGTCTATTGCTGGTTGAAAACTATTTCCAAACCCCCTCTTCGGCCTGGGCTTCTGCCTTGGCCGTCGAGAATTTTTGGAAGGGCTCCCTTTGGGGTTAAGCCCTACAATACTAGTTATAAAGAATTTATTTACTCTTCCTTATGGTCCTTTTCCCGGTTGTTTTCACGTAGTATCCATGAATTTGTTTCAGTAATTGCTTTAGTCGAGGCACTTATTTCCTTTTTGTGGCAAATGTGACAAACACATCAAAAAGGTCAATTAAGTTGTAATTTCGATTGGAGTGATTTAGGGACTTGCTAGAGTATAAACTTGTGTTTTTTAGTAGTTAGTGGTTTACATCTTCAGGATTATATACTGATGAAGTCATTTTGATTATCCTTTAGTTGTTTTCTCTGTTTGGTTTTACTTGTAAACAGGCAGACAGATCGATGAAATTTGCCTCTGCTGCAACAAAATGTTTGTGCACAACTGCGGACAAGCTTTAGTCACAATCAGCTTTGTATCATTTAGAATATGCTCATCAACCGTGTTAAACAATTCGATGGAATTGCAGTAGTTGTATATATAAAGAAGCTTTAGTCACAATTAGCTAACTTCATTTCACTTGCTCTCACCACTTTCTAAGGGCAAGGATATTACAACAATATATCAAACATAAAAGAAATTCATACGAAGCTAATGCTATGTCCTATCTCTCCACCGTTGATTGATCAAAATCTCCATAATTTAGAGTAGTCTACAGTCTTGTTTGATTATCGGAAAAAAAGAGAAATCACGGGTGATTGCCACTGCCACTGCCACTGCCTTTCTTTCCTCTTGGGTCATGCTTGGTGTTAGGACCTGCATTGTCATAATCTAACACAGCATCCAGCTGCAGCAACTTTCTTGGATTTTCTCGCATAACATGCTGCACACAATTTGCAACAAAGATTAATCAGCGACGTTTAATTTTTCAGTTGTTAAGGATATTCTAAGACATCAAGATTTTTGAGGACTCTATGCACCAAAATAAAATAATCTAGGAAGTTGTCTACAGTCTTGGTATGCTATATGCAAGAAAATGGATGAAACTTTAAGAGGAAAACATAAGCTGCAGGAAGTTAGTTAGTCGTATGTTGCAGTATATCTCAACTTTTTTGCACTATATCTCAATCGTTAGAGTGGGTTAGGGTCCCACATCGATCAGAGAATGGACCGATTGTCTGCTTATATGGATTTAGACAATGCTCCCCTTGTGGGCTTGCTTGTCATCAGTTGGGTAATGGACTAGTACTCTGCTTATGTGGACTTGGACAATCCTCATCATGAGCTAGGCGCAAATGCCATATTTTTTTTCACCAAAAAAGAAGGAAGTTGCACTATCTACTAGTTGCATTTCGTTAGTTAAAGCATGGTATGATGCCAATCAAATAAATTTACTCCCCTATGACTACCTTATGAAGCTTGTAAGTGTGGTTCACGCCTTCAACATGATCACCTAGATGGCACAAAGAAGAATGAGAAACAATAGTGTTAACATTATTATGTCATTTGCTAGTGTAAATCA